GAGAACCCGTGGACGGGATCTTTGTTATATCCACTGGATGAAGACTGTCACACAGTCACTTCATCTGCGGCAGCATGAGATTTCTTACCAACTGCACATGGTAACTACTCCGAGCCTCCTTTGATGCCCTCTTTGATTCTGGGTGTCCTGCTGCGTGCATGACCAGACCTGTCAGAGCAGCACTCTTCCTCTTGATACTCATTTTAAATAAGTGATCATCTTCAGAAACATGCAAGATGGTCCGCTCACTCAAAAGACAGCTAATCCCCTTATCTGATTTACAAAAATAATCCTTACTTAAACTTTCTGCTTGCTTTACTAACTTTTGAGCAAAATACTGTGGAATTCATATGTACTCTTTGAAATGCAGCAGTAAAATCTAGCACTTTATGTAAAAGTTGACTACATTAATGCTGCCCATATTTCAGATGTTGGAGATTTTCACCTTGCCAAAATCTTAGTTTTGTTTTTTTGGAGAGTGAACTTATTTTTTTGATTAAAGTTATCAAATCTGGGCTGAGTTTCCCAGAGTAAGAACTTACACATGAACAACTGCTTAGTACACTTACTAGCTTCCTTTTCTATGTTCTCTCCAAACAAAATGATGGAAAGGATTTTCCAGTTTAAGTTTTTCTGTAACGTATTTTTAAAAACTTTTTTGGGAAAAACGATTTCTTTATAGTAAGTTTCAAATCTCAGTTTTCAAATGTAGGACAAGAAATCAACTTTTCAGGCAACCCTACAAAAATTCAAGAAAACTAGTTTCTAAAAAAACCATTATGACATTGTTTTAAACTGAGATTAACTACGTTGAAATTTTTAGAGTCCATTTTGAAATTGGCACTAGGATTTTAAAAACAGAACTACACACTCTGTGGCCAGCAGTGACACATAGATTTTAGCATTTCAGCTCCAGCATCCCACAGGTAGTCTCAGTCACAGTGGCTTTAAGAGACAGTACACTGGTTTCTACATGATCTAGAGGCTGTGGTCTCAAAAGTTTTCTGTTGTTTTCCTTTTCTTTTCTCACTTACTTCATTACTTTATCCAAACAAAGGGAAAAAAAAAATAAGAGAAGGACTATCCAAGGGGGTAGAGGTAGGCTGTAGCTGATATATTTGATAATGATCCCTGGTCCTTTTACTCATTTTATTAAATCTGTTGCTTAAGATATGGATTTTTAAGTATTGAAAAAAAAAAAAAAAAAGGCAAATTCTATTTTTTTTACTTCATGATGTTTAAATATTTAGGCAACTGTATGCCCACTTCCTTGGTACATATTTTAGTCTAACACTTCCTGCCTGTGTTTTCTCTAGCTACTTCCAACTACAGTTATGATTCCTACCAATGTCAACTCCATCCCCAGCCTACAGTTGCCTCATGGATTTACATGGTTGGATTTACACACTACGGTGCAACATGTCCTACTTCTTTACAAAAGCTTTTAGCACCTCACATCTCACCTCTACCATGTCAGTGCTGAAAGATTCCCTGCATTGTCTTCTTTCATTTTGAAAGGAAGAGAAGTTGTTGGGCATAGTGTCCACTGGCATCCCATATCAGACTGGAAGAACACTTGTCCAAAGCAAATTAGGACAAAGCTGGAGAAATGACAGGGTAGTCCTAGCTGGGCCACCTAATACATTCCAACATCAGCTAGTTACAAACCAAGTGATAGTGAAACCACACAAACTATCTGTATCATATTCCTGTACACTGGTTATTTAGGTTCTAACGCTTGTTCATTTTTTATTAGTTGCTCTAGTGCATGGTACAAAGGGAAGGCTTGTGGCATTTTGCATACACCAAAGTCTCCTTAGAACATTAGGATACCCGCACATCTCAAAAATAATTTTCCCCTTTCTTTCCTTTTTACAACAGCCACATTTAAATAAGTGGCCATGTAGTCACTGTAGCTACAAGGACAGGAAGTTATGACCTAATTTTAACTTTGGAATGTAAAGACAAACTACAAAATTTTACTTCTTTGAGGCAGGTGACAGTTTGCATTAAATGTTATGAATATTTTTCAATTATCTTTCCCTACAGTAAATACTGAAATCATTTATTTTGATGCAGGAGCACACAGGCTCCTTCACACTTGCACTTGCAGTGCTGACGTCTCCCCATCACCCCGACAAGCAATGCAGAAGTCAGTGGCAAAAGGTTATCTTCTGCTTAATTGTATGCCTTCACGTTACCCCATGTCATGGAATTAAAAGCTAGACAACATCAGCTACGTCACCTGGCTGCTGAAACCTTAAATTAAAGGAGGAAAATGCAAATACTAACCAACAACTTTGTGATCAAATTATTTTTCCTATGCCTAAAATAAACATAAATAATTGTGCATTGTACTATCCTCTACTGCATACAAGAATAGGGAATGATCCTACAAAGCCCAGGGCTTCTTTTTCTCGCAAGAGTGATCAAAATTAAACTGCAGAAATTATTAATGTTTCTCTGTAAAAGTGGTGCAAATACTAGGCATGTTCTCTGTAAAAGCATTTCTAGAAACGCCAGCTAAGACTTGAAGTGAGCTACCATTACCTCCTGCTCCGAGATTTTCTTCATTGTCAAATGCAAGCAAAACTACTGTTAAATTGGATTACAAAACTGTTTCCCTGTAATAAAAAAGCTATTTTTTTCTCAAATTACAATTTAAGAAGCTGATCCTGCAAATCCTTGAAAGGCGAGAAGTCTTCATTCTTACGACTGAACCTTACTACTCATGCTCACAAACATGAACATGCAAGACCATCTTCATCTTTCAAACAGGCACCCTGTGTACCTTGCACCTGCGTACAAGTATTTTCGCCCCAGTGGATTAACTCACTTAAGCATGTGTTTACCTTTAAGTAAAAAATAAGTAATTTTAAATAGCTCATTGGAACAATCTTTCTGTAACTACTACCCACATTTGAAGATAAGTGTTGTATTCCTTGTAATTATGATATAAAACCAGACAAGTTCCCCTTTTCAGCTATGTTATTCTGGAACTAAACACATGCCACTGAAAGCAGATTCTGGCACAGCCTGTCTAATGTGCACACAACAGATCTTGAGGCACTGATCCAAAAGTCTATAATGCTGGAAAAAGGATGACACAACCTAGTATCTTCAGTGGATTCAGATGCAAACATGATTTCTTACAGTCACAATATTCAAACCAGCAATGACAACAGACTCATTGCTTTCTGCTAAATATTGCATATTGGAAAAGAATTCGGAAGGAAAAAAGAAGAGTAATTTGAAAAAAAATTACTTGATTGTGAGACCATGACCTCTGAACACAACATACATGAAGGAAGTGACTTCTCCCACTTCCAATGCCTCTGGCACAACAGATCCAAAATGAAAAGATGGGAGACCATGGAAATGCCTCTACATCTTTTGTTTCTCGGTCATCAGTATTTTCAAAGTTGCTTAAATCCATCTTATAATTTTACCATCGGTCTTCTAAGCTGTTACTATGTGCTCAACATAACAGGCTAGCCGATTCTAAAAATAAATTTAGTTTTTCTCTTCCTGAGACTTCAGATCAGATTCTGCTATTGTACCAGAACCTTAACACTGTGCAAATGGGAAAGCTGCACAGTTCACCTTTGCTTTGACAGAGTGGTAACATTTTTTAACAGAAGCAAAACCAGAACACTTCAACCATATTTCTCTTGGGATTTTGCAGTTACTTCAACTGAATGTGAAAAGCGAAATGATTAGCTACTTAGCATCTTAACTGATTCCCAACCCTTTAGTTCAAATTACTTTGTCTTCAACACACTGTAGGCTCTCTCCCCCCCAGGATAACTGTCAGAATATAAAGCACATTCAAACTTCCTTATTTGTCTGTTTATCGCTCAATGCTCAACAGAGGAATGAAAAAAAAAAAAAAAAAAAAAAAAAAAAAAGAAGTCACAGTTCCTCTAAGCGGACTGCCTCGATGTACTCTACACTGCTGCAGTTTATGGCCTCAAAGGCTGTAAAAATACACAGCTTTGCATGCTGATACATGCTCTGTACCGGATGGCTGTGCCCACGGATTAGGCAGCAGATTCAACCCACGGGCTCGGGAGATCTAAACTTCTGTGGATAAAAAGAGCATGAAGGAAGCAGAACAGAAAAGAACACTAAAAAAAAAAAAAAAAAAAAAAAAAATGGCGCAGTTAATTCCCTTCAAATTAATAATTTTGTTATAAAATGCAAGTGCTTTATAATGTATCATATAATTTGGCCAGACTGGGACTCCACTTGCTACTATTCTACTGGACTCAGTGTCACCTAAGAAAAGCATTGCTTATATTTGTCCAAAATAACATCACTTCAAACTAATCTAGCCAACTACTACAACACAAAGTTTATGCAGTACAGTGATAAAAAAAAGAAAATGGAATCATTTCTCTGGCAGAACATATGAAATGAAAAGCAGTGAGACTGGTGTCAGGCTTGCACTATTCAACTCCTTTCAGCACTTATAGTGATGCACTACAGTTGTTTTCTTGGAAACAAAATAGGGAAGTTTGATAAGACAGAAACGCATTTTAAAAGACACTTTGTCAGGCATCAAATCTTTGACATATTATGCACCGTTCAGACAGAAGCCCTACTTTTGCGTGCACCTTGTTCCGTTTAAAACCTACCACCAGAAGAACGCATCGATATACGATGAAACCCGGGGGTCGGCACTTGGGTGTTGGACGCCAAGTTCCTCAAACGCTGGGCTGGCGGTATTTCTTTTCGGGAACTCTGCAGTACCGGGAGGTTTTCACGCCTGCTTTCGGGCCGGCCGCTGCCCCCCTCCCCGACACGGGTGCCGCTCGCCCGTTCGTTCGCTCGCCCGTTCGCTCGCCCGTTCGCTCGCTCGCCCGTTCGCTGCCGCCGCCCGCGCCGCTCCGCCCTCCCCGGGGGCTCCCGCCGGGGCCGCCCGGCTCCAGCCCCCGCCGCCGCCGCCGCGCTCCCGCCCCGCGGGGCCCCGCTGCTGCCCGCCCGGCGCCGCTACTCACCGCTGACCGCGGGTCGCTCGGCCCCGCGCTTCGCCGCCGCCCGCCGCCCGCTGCCGCCGGGAGAGAGCCGGCGGGGAGGCAGCCCTGGGCCGGGCGGCTCCGCAGAGCCGTGCCGTGCCGTGCCGTGCCGTGCCGTGCCGTGCCGTGCCGTGCCGTGCCGTGCCGGGACGCGGCGCGGCCGGGAGCGGGGCTGGACCCGCGCGTAGCGCCGTGGGTGCCGCCGCTTCCCCCTTTCCTCTCGCCGCCGCGGCCACTTCCTCAACGGGGTGTCGCCGCGCACTCCCTCCTCCTCGGCGGGCGCAGCCGCCGTGCCCCCGGCCTCCTCGCTCCTGATGCGGGGCTCCGCGGCACCCTGTGGTCTGGATCTCCTTGGTACCCCGCGATTTGAGTCTCCTTGGTACCCTGTGATTTGGGCCCCTGTGCCAGCGGCGTCGCCTGGCAGGCGGCTGGCTTTGTAAAGCGGACACGCAGGCGGCTCGGCACCGCGGTTGGGATGGAGGATCGAAGTGTATGAGATGTGGGCTTCTCCTAAGGAGAAAAGGAGTATGTGCACTTGCGGTGAATACTGAAGTTCTGCATCTTTCCGTACTTCTGTGTACTTCGGTGAGAAAATGACTCTTACAAAGTTTCCTTTTGGAGCAACACAGGGGCCTACCGCAGCACAGTATCTCCCCTTCCTGTTGTATTTCACTTTAAAAAGTCCCTCCATATTTCATTCGAAAATACTTTTTGTAGCAACTCCAAGTGTGGAGGAGACAGTTCTGCCCAGACACTGAGCAGAAGTTAGGTCTTTCTTCAAGACCTCCTCAATAACCTGTGTGACAGGGAGTTAATTCCTGCTGCAGATGACCTTACACAGCCAAAAGGTGACAATTGTCCTTTGACAAGGACTGTCCAGGGATGAGCTGCTCCTGCTGTGGGTCAGACAGAGCTGATGAGTGCCACGAGGAGCCTCGGCTGGGGCCTGAGTGGGCAGGTCTCCTTTAACTGTGTGTGACTCTGCTGTGTGACATGGCATCATGCCTCGTGATGGGCAGTGCTAGTGGGATGAAAAGTCCACTTCCTTCTTCCCCATAATAAATCAGTGTTAGCACTAATGTGGGATACAGGCGTTATTTCCAATGGTGAAACACTGTCTCTCTTTCCTTGTTGCAAAATGGACCATACACCCCTTATAGTTAGTAGAGCTGACAAAGTGCTTTTGTACTTTCCTATTTCATACCAGTTAAAAATGTCTCTGTGTTTGGTCTGTGTCAGTGAGACTTCTGGTGGTTGCTGTAGTGGGAATGTGCTTCTTATTTGCACTGCCTACACGTTAGGGAAAAGAGAAGAACTTGGAAAACCTAATTCTTGGATGTGTTTTGATGTCACAGGTCTTTTCCAACCAACATCCAAGTGTGAACAGAGCATAATCTGCAGGAAATAGCTTTTTGAAAGTCATTATTGAACTATGAACTGTTTCTTAAGAAATCTCAAATTGGTGAAAAAAATCATCAATAGTGCATGGCTTTAAATTATACATGAGCAATTGTACTGGGCCTGGCTGGGATGAAATTAACTAGCCACCAATATGGTGCTGTGTCTTGGATTTTGGCTAAAACAATATTGATAACACACTAGTAATTTGTCTATTCCTGGACACTGCTTGCACAAAATTGAGGCTTTCTTCATTGCCCTGTCTGGCCTGTCCCCAGCATGTAAGTTAGAGGTGGACAAGAAGTTGGGAAGGAACAGAGACAGGACAACAGCCCCTAACTGACCACAGACATATCCCATACCACACTCGGCAATCAAGATTGGGAGGAGATGAAAAATGGTGGAGGGGTGGGGGTGTCTTCCAAGGTGGTTGCTGCTCAAAGACTTGCTGGACATCACTGTGCTTGCGGGAGGTAGTGGGAGACCACCTATGCGTCACTTGGTTTGGTGTTTTTTTTCCTTTCCTTCACCTGTTAAAACTGTCTTTATCTTGACACATGACTTCTCTTGCATTCGATCTTCCTATTCCGTCCCCAGTCCCACCGAGCAGGTGGATCTGAGCAACTGGCTGTGTGGATGCTTGGAAGCTGGCCTGGGTCTGCCCATAGCAGCAGTAGGGGGGAAATCCAGTAAGGGGAGTAAATATTTTTTGATGCCATTCACATTTTACTTTTTCTTTCTTTGCATGTGAGATTTAATACAAATGTGTTATGGAGTTCTGCTATACTGATTTTTGGTAAGCGACACACAGCAGTGCAATGTATTATTTAGTGTATTGCATGTAATGTTACGTATTATCATATCTTAACATATATGTTGTCATTCTGAAGCTTTTCTGTGATGTATGGATGACTATAGGAGGCCAGTAATCAGTAAAGTACAATAATTCCTCTTTTTGTCTGGCAAAATTTGATGTGAGTAAATCTGGGGTTTCTGGGAAGATTCAGTAATTTCGTGGAATCTCCTGCCCAATATGAATATATACACTAGAAACCAGTAGTTTGTACACAGCCTCCCACTAGCTGTACTGCAAAATAACTACAATAATTAACTTTGTAATCCTCCATACTTTTGAGGAGCATCTGAGGAAGTTTCAATGCTTTCGTTATTGCAATACGATTTGAAAGACCTCTGCTTTCAGGAGGCATGACAGTTTGCTTAAGTCCAGAGAACATCTTTTGTGATGGGAGGCTTTACAGCTACATGACTATGTGCCATGCCAATCAGTGCTAGTAGAAGAGGAGGGAGATGGAGCCTGGGTGAAATACTGTGTTTCTTTCTGGTAAAACTTCAACCCTGAAGTTGAACTTAACTTTTACTGCAGACAAAGTCCAGATTTCGGCTGATATAAAAAACCTGAATAATTTCTCACATACCATGGCACAGTTACAGTCATCAGCTGCTCTGGTGGTTCTACATATGATCTAACTTTTTTTTTCTGCATAATGAAAGCAATTTGGATGACCCCTTGAACTCACAGGATCTAACATGTGGAAACAGAAGGGTATTGCTGTTGGTAATGATTAAATTTACACCACTGGTTTGTTTCAAATCTATTTTTTATCTTATCATGAATTACAGTAGATTTGATGAAATGATTTAAAAGGATATTCCCAAATCTAGTTTCTTTACTATAGTGACTCTATATTCAATATAATTTATAAAAAGTAATTATGTAACTGCGTCTCTCCAAACTTCAGAAATGTGGCATTACGAAGTGTCTATTCTGTTGCTTTCCCACTCTGTCTTCATTGTTGTGGGGAATAGGTGGTTAACAGAAAATACAAATAGGTGTGCTGAAATAGACCTCTCTTCAGTTAAGCCACCATACTGAAGCATTATAATTTATTTCATTCTCCAAAGGGAATTTTTGGTTTGATTTGTGGCTTCCAGGTGTATTGGAATTTGCAGGTGTACTTTCACAGACATAGTCTGGACTGATGGAATTCTGCTCCAGTGCAAAAGGTACTGCTGCAGCTTAATATCAAGGTAATTACGGGCTGAAGCTGAGCATTTTTTAAAATGCTGTCTCTGCTTTTATAGTAAGGAATGTTGAAAGCTAAACTGATGCTTTGTTGTCTAAATGAATGTTAAATTTTCTAAAATACATAGCAATAAAATAAACAACATCACAGACAGATAATCTCATTTGACGTTCAAATTCTTGATACTTGACCATACCCACAGCTAAAAGTCAAGGATTTCTATGATAGAAGCAATTAGTGTCAAGAAGATGGGACTTTACACCTATACAAAGAAAAGAATGCAGAAGTGACTCATTTTGCCTAAGGAATATAAAATTTCTGCACAGCTTATTGCATTCAGTCATGCTTTGATTAAAAATATATGCTATTTGGGAGCTATTTATTATCCACTTCATTTTAATTTTGATGGAAGCAATGATTCAGTGTTGGCACAATAGCAGTAAACAACATTTGGAGAAAATGGAAAGCCAATAGCCTAAAAGCAGTGTTGTGACACAAAAGCAAATGTCCTATCTTACAGTCAGAACTGAGCCGGATCAGAAGCTTCAAAAAGTAAAGACCATAATCTCATATCCTTTGGCCTCTTTTTCTTATCCAAGGTGTAGCAAAGACCCCTCTTTTACATAAGAACCAGGACCGAAGATACTTCATACATTGTAAATACCAGCAATTTGTGTTTCCATAAGAGTTTCACTTACATATAGCTGAATTTAAGTGGAAAACAGTAGCGGCAATCTCTGTGGGGAAACTGAGTACAGTTACACAGAAGTAAACTGGGGGAGATGCTCAGCAAATTAATTCACCTGCCTGCTCATTGTGAGCATCTATAAATTATGGCTATTTTGGTTATATACTAATTTACTGCTTTGATTGGAAATGTCAGTAGCAATATTCTTTCCTACATGAAGTTAAGATTAATAATCAGAAAATTCAGGTCCATTAAGGTATTTTCTTTATCAACTCATACTAAATATGATGATGTCTGCATTGTTTTCTGTCCATATAACTATAACAATTTAAATACCATAATTTTGCATGCAATAGCCACATTTATCACCTTTCCCTGGTTGAATTTAGTATAACCTGAAAGTAGTACAAAGTACTTAAGTAGTCTTATTTACATATTAACACACATACTTACAAATAATGTGAAGCTAATTAAGAATAAACCAAGTTTATGGGACATTTCTACAGTATTTCTCCCAAATTCCATGCTCCAGAGAGACTTTTATTTGTTGGATGTCTCATGTCATGTCATTGCTGAGCCATTCTCTAATCTCAGGGACTGGGGAGCAGACATGAGAGAGAGAAAGAGACTGCAAGAGTGAGCTGGGATCCAACTGTATTTTTATTCTGTCTGTAACATTTGTCAGCTGTTTCCTACAGAGCCAGTCACTACCTTTGCACTGTCATCTAGGACCTCACATTTGCTTAGATGCAGTTCTGTCACAGTCTGCATCTCTGCATTTATGTTTAATCTATTAAACCCTTCTAGAAACTGAATTAGCTGTCGTCCACAGTGCTCAGAGCTAATAATCTAAGACAGACCCACACTGCTTCCTGAGGAAGCAAAGAGAGTGTTCCCAATAGCAAGTACTTCTCTTTGTGAGAACAGGTTGTGGAGACACCCAATCTGTCTCTTCATGAAGCCAGTTTATAATTGTCACAGATTCTGATTCATGTACAAAAAGCAGATGTACTATTTCTGGATTAGTGCTAGCCCTGGAAAAGGTATGATGCATTTCCACATCATTGCACCTGAACTAACAAGTCCGGTCAGGTCTGAGCTGACCTTGCATCCCAGTCATAGATACTCTTCCAACCAAACAGCATAGGTATCTCTAACTCAGGATTCATTGTAAATGAATCAGACTATATAAAATACTATAAAATATTTTATATGATGCAAAATATTAACTATCTGCTCTCAGAACCTAATTTCCTGCCTTTACAGTAAGAATAAACACTTCCTTAATATCAGAGTCCTCATGTGTAATTTAGTTTTAGTTCTTTTGCTGCTGCAGGGTGGCTGGAGCCTTCATGCTGAAGCAGTATTCCTGGGATGTTGTAACCCAAGGAATATCTTAAGGTTGCACAAGTAGCACTTTTTCACCTTATTTTGTTTTCCAATACTTGATTTAGAACTGACTTAACTTTTCTGCAGCCTGTCTCTGAATAAAAACTACATTAAAGTTAAAAAAAATATAAATCTGAACTGTTCTGAATGCTTTAAATACCACTGTCCTTTCTGTTGTAAAATTGATGTGGGAATCCCTCCCTCGCTGGATTACAAGAATGTTAACATACTTTCCAGTCTATAGGAGTATAGCAGAAATATGGCCATTTAAATGAATATGACATTTATACTGGTACTCATTTCATAATTTTGAACATACAATATGATTTTACCAGAAATAAACTGTCCTTCTAACAGCTATAAAAATGCATGTTGTCAAGAAGACAGATTTTCTGCCAAAAAGCAGAAGGATTTCACTATCAAGGATTACTAACCCTGACATTTTAGGCCAGTTTTCTTCCTTTTATTTAATCCATACTGTAAGAAAGTTACAAAATAAACCCAGTATTTGGTAGGGTCTAATAGCATGTTTTTCTCTGTATATGTACATGTATACACACACATTCATATTTTAAATGTCTCTAAAACAATTTTTAATTGTCTATCCTGAATTAAATCAGTTTGAACTCAAACTTGCCTTTAAAAACACACTTGCTTTTAGAATTATACAAAGCCATGAGAAATAATTAAATCAACATGATAATATAATTTTTTTTCCTTCGTGACACTACAGATAATGTCCACCTGGTCTGTGCAAGAATGGAAGCAGCACAAGACCATACAAGACCATTAGAGCCCTAGGGGACAACTCAGGAGCAACATCCACTTTAAATTAAAGATGAGGCTCCAGGAGGCAAAACAATTTAAAAAATGTTTAGAACGAATCATGAATATGGGACAGCTAAAAGATCTTTTTTAACTTCCCTTCAGAATATGAACACGGGAAAAATTATCTCTACCAAATTTCTGTCAAGGTGACACAAGTGCACATATAAAAAGATGTGTAACTTCCTGAGAACTGAAACTGCTGAGGATCTCATAGCTTTCAAACAGAAAGCAGAAGTTAGCTTGATTTTAATCTTATTTACGTTGATTTTATACAATGACTTCTCTGTGTCTAGTAGATAACTTGATTAATGCTGTCAAAATTTTCCTTTGTGCCTGTATGTTTTTCCTAGATCATTCACAGTGAAATAAAACTCTTGAAAAGCTGAATATATGAGCTTTATATGAAAAAGTAACATTCATCTAGGTTATTTAAAAAATGTAGACGTGATGCTTGAGTCAAAAAGAAAAAACAGTAGCTGAAGAGTAGCACTAGGGGATCTTAGTCTGTACTGCAGGCAGCCCTCATTGGGAGTGGAAGTAGAAGCACTGAAGTATGTCCGGCAACGTTAACCACAGATGAATAATGTCCTTTCAGATGTGTCATGACCACAGCACTTCTAATAGCATGTGAGTGGTAAAGAACTAAGGCGTGCTATATACTAATTATTAAAAACTTGTTCTTTTGTTGTTTCCCTTCCCTTCCCTTCCCTTCCCTTCCCTTCCCTTCCCTTCCCTTCCCTTCCCTTCCCTTCCCTTCCCTTCCCTTCCCTTCCCTTCCCTTCCCTTCCCTTCCCTTCCCTTCCCTTCCCTTCCCTTCCCTTCCCTTCCCTTCCCTTCCCTTCCCTTCCCTTCCC